TAGGCTCACATGAAAGAAGAACAAACTTTTGATAGTTCAGCATATTGAAAAAAGAAGCAAATGAGTATTTGGAAAAAGAGATGTTTTAATGTTAAATTGAAACAAGCATACAGTTATGGATTCCATACTATACAAACTGTATGTACAGTTTTATCTATGTTTGCTCTCCTTTCTTTTTTAAAGGAAATTAGGAAAATAGACCTAATAAAGGCCTTCTTGATCATTTTCTTGAAATACAGTTCAGACAATTAAACAATTCTCCTATCTGTCTCATCTAAAACATAACCCAATTTCCTGTATTTGATTATCTATAAATCTTGTCTTATTATATTGGGAATAAAAAAATCTTATATTTTTTTAAAAAGCAGCCTTTATTGCTTTGAAAACACTTAACATGTCATGACTTGATTCTCAAAGTACTGTAGTCATAGTGCTCCAGAGTTTGGTAAGTCTTAATTCTTTACTTAACAGTCTCTCTCAGCTCCACCTGACATTCAAATCATACACTATTTATATTACTGTAGTTCGGGAATTTATATGACAAAGACATAAATCTTATTTAAAATGTTAATATATGTAAAAAGGGAATTGGAATAATAGAAAAGATACAGAGCAGACAGCAACTGCACAGATATAAAAATGCTGCTATTTTAAGGAGGTATAAACAGATGTTGAAGAAATGCTCTGAAGCTATACAGCCTACAACCCTTTAACTGGTTATCAGGCCACTGGGAATATTCATTGTCAAAACCACTTTAATGCAAAAGGTTTTGTATCAGAAGCCAAACCATGCTTGCTCTTAATCATGGTTAATTAAAACAAGCCACATTCTAACACTATGATTTGGAAGTTCACTTGTTTCAAGTAATCTTTCTTAAAACCAAGCATAATTAATTTGAATGCAAAGGTAATGTTGAACTATGGCTAATAAAAATGGAAGCAAAATGCTGAAATTCAAACTCCGAGCTATGGCTTAAGGTGGTAGGAACAAGGACATTCTGTAGTTTATTGCCATAATGATAAACTATAGTTCTTTCATTTGGAAATTGATACAATACAACATTGGATTATCTAATTTTATTCGGCATGTATTTCTTGAAATAGATTTTTCAATACTCACAAAATCCTATTAATAAGACTGAGATATAGAGTTTAATTATCCTAGCTTGGCATATATCCAAAATCTGCCTCATTCAAAATCATCCAAATATGTTGGACTTCAATTCCCATCAGCTCCTTTGTTATGATGAGATTGCAGACCAATATATCTGGAAGATGCCTGATTGGAGAAGGCACCCTAAAGAATAGCATGCAAATGTTTGTTCCAAATCCCTTTTCTATTGTCATACCTACTTTCCGGGGAGAGGGGGGATTAACTGAAATCCTTTATAATCCTACTCTTAAAGAAACTGACTTTAAAGAATTGAAAGCAAAGTTTGCAGACTCCAGTATAGCCCAAGTGGTTCTCACAATGCAGCAGATCACTCTGTTCAACGCCTGAAAGTGATGAGCAATTAAATGGGAATTACTGAACAATCTAAAACCCACCCAAAAATCAGACTCCTTAAAATGTTCTTTTGCTACCCTGGTCACACTGTGAGTGATGCCAACAATCTGGCCTCTGAGATTTTTATCTCTTGAAGATTAAGTTGTGGCCAGTAGAATGTTTCTCCTCCTCAGAAATATAAGCCACGGAACTCAGCAAAATAAAAACATTGGCTGCCAAATCACATGAACAACGTTAAAAGTGCTTTATCCAGACTCCTATTATTTAAAATTGCAGCCCTTTAGCATTCCATACTTTTTCTATTAGAATACTGGGCATTATAAATTGTGAGTTTTAGAAATGGAATATATTTCTATTAAAAGGTACCAATATAATGTTATAAAAGAACATAAACATTCAGAGCTTAGGAATGTTTTAAAATAGGAATAAGCATTTAGCTTTTTAAAGAATTGCTGCTAGTTTAATGTAAAATGTCTTAACAACAATAGTACTTAACTAGCTTTTTCTAGTTTCTAAAAAGTTAACCAATCTCAGGCCTGCTTAGTATTTAGGTAGCAAGTCTTTAGAGAACTCAGGTTCTAAACTAAACTGGAAATTTGAAAAGCTCCCCAGAAGACAATGGGAAGCTATTTCCATATTATTGCCAAGAAAATTTCATGATTGTGTCTATGGAATCACCAGAAGCTGAGTTTGACTTGTAAAATCTCTGTCTGTAATTTTTTTTAATATTAAACTAAATGTATGTTTCTGTGGGAATTCTTCTGAAATGTGGGTGATAAAGCAACAACATAAGATATAATTACAAATTATAAATGTGTGGTGCATCACTTCAAAACACCTGTCAATTTTTTCTGTATGTTCCTTTGCTGTTGAGTGCCAAATCTTTTTTATAAGCAATATCTTCAAATTTCATATGAATAGATAGAATAATATGATCTAGAATAGGAGCTTAGGGAAGCTCCTATATACAGAGTCTGATCCATTTAACCCAGGACATTGGCTAGCAGATACTCCAAAAAGTAGAGTCCTAACTAGAAATGACAGAGATAATATCTGTACTTTTTGATGCAAAGCAATGGTTTACACTTAGCATTAAATTAGCTACAGCTCTTCCCTTCCTCACAAAAATACGGATAATCATTCTGTAAAGAGATAATAGAGGCCAGAAGCAATGTTTTTAACAGAGAGACTAAGGAGAAATAGAAACATTTGGCTAGAGTTTGGAATTTAATTTACTTTCTGAACAGTGCTTTTTAACTAGATAACATAAGATAAAGCCCATCACTGCCTAGGAAACCAACGCAATGCAATAACCTGAGCTATTGCAGTGGCAGAGAAACCCACTTTTGTCTATTTTATTTGTCTCATCAATCCCTTACTTTATTTGGATCATTGCCAGTGTATGTCTTGCTTAATTAACATCCAGAGCTTGTTCTTCTTTCTTATTGATTTCCATATCATATTATCTTTTTAATAAGCTCCAGCTCTTATTCCTTAGTTTTCTTCTCTATTTTTTTTAGTCTTCTTCACTTCACTGGGAGGATGTGATGGCTCAGTGGTTAAGACACTGGGCTTGTCAGCTGGAAAGCCAACAGAGTTTGAGACCCAAGTGTCACACAACAGGATGAGCATTTGCTTAGCTCCTACCCGCCTAGCATGTTGAAAACATGCAAATGCAAGTAGATAAATAGATATGACTTGGATGGGGAGGAAACAGTGGTCCACAATGTCATGTTGGCCACATGACCACAGTAACGTCTTAGGACAGCAGTGGCTCAGCAGCCTTGAAATGGAGATAAGCACCACCCCTCTTAAGAATATTGGGCAAAATCTATCTTCACCCAGAGAACTAGTAACTATAAAATGTTTGTGCTTGTGAAAATTTAATGAATTAATGTAAATGTATAAATGCAAAAATCAATATATGAAGTGGCTGAAAAGAAATAAATGTGAGAGCAAACAGAAACCCAAAACAACAACATGCTTCCCATTACTAAAATGTATACCAATTGATGTTTTCACACCAATATGATTATCTTCTCCTTTAGTCTATAAACAACTAAAATGCTGCTGTTAATGGAATGAAGAAATATATAAAGTATAAAGTGGAAATTAATGCCAGAAGTGTGAAATACTGGTTTCATAACTGAAATCCCCATAAGCACTGTCTATTTATAATTAATAAATTATCAAGAACCAATTTAGAACGTACTTTTAAAAAATTATTTATTGGCAGTGGTTTCTACAGGTAGTCTTCGATTTACAATCACTCAAAGTTACAACAGCACTGAAAAAAGTGATTTAGGATTATTTTTCACATTTACGACTGTTGCAGCAACTCTATGCTCATGTGATCGAAAATTCAGACTCTTGGCAATCGGTATTTATTTATGGTGATTTGCAGAGTCCCAGGAGCATGCGATCCCCATTTTGTGACTTTTTGACCAGCAAAGTCAATAGATCAAGCCAGATTCACTTAACAACCGTGTTATTAACAACTACAGCGATTCACTTAATATTTGAGGCAACAAAGGTCGTAAATTGGGTCATAACTCACTTAACAACTGCCTAGCTTTGGAAGGGAAATGTTGAGCTCAATTGTGATCGTAAGTCGAGGATTACCTGTATATGCTTATTGTTTAAAAGAAATATATAAAAAGCATTGCAATACTCAATTCTGCATTTAATATCAACTTTCATATATATTGTTATTCCAAGTCCTGGAATCCCACATCAGCACAGAAAGTAATACTGCCTAGAAATTCTAACAGTTGCTGGTTTCCTCATTCACTTTGCTTGTGAGAAATCAGCAAGAATGGTTGGAAAATCACAATCAAGTGACCATGGGTCTCTATGAAGTCAATACTTAAACAACAAACAACAACAATTAAAAAATCAACTGCTTTTTCTTCACGGAAATTTCAGCCCTTCTCTTCAAAGCAATGAAGAGGAAAGTAACATGGTGCCATGGTATCTTGACTTTAAGATGGAGGGGTATACTTCTGAAGAATGAAAAGGCAGGACAAAATCCCTATACCCACCCATATGCAACTACACAGCATAGCTTCAGAGGACATGCAAAAAAAAAAAAAAAAAAACATTATTTGCACTGTTTCTCCTAGAGCAGGGGTGTCCAACTTTGGCAACTTTAAGACTTGTGGACTTCAACTCCCAGAATTCTCGGAGTTGAAGTCCACAAGTCTTAAAGTTGCCAAGGTTGGACACCCCTGTCCTAGAGTTATCAGCAAATGAATAGTTAATTGCTTTAACTTGTGAAAACTCACCCAACATCTGTGACACTGTGTGACAAAGCAGCATAGCACCAATCTTGAACTGATGCATCTTTGTGCACAGAAGAGCCGACAGAAGGGAGACAAGTTTCTGTCCTATCATTTGCAACCTAGCACTTCAGGCCATCAGACAGTTATTTCCATTCACAAGGGATAATAAATGGAATTTTAAAATACAAGTACACAGCTGAAAATTTTCTTACCTAAATCCAATGCATTCTCATCTTCATTTTCCTGTGGATGAATTATATGTTCTTGTTGAAACTACAAAACAAATGGAAATAATATTATGTTCTAGTATGTAATCTATAATAAATTGTGTTGAAAAATTTCAGAACGCAATATATTTTTCAAAAGCATTTTTCTGCTCTGGTTCATTTCAGAATATAACATTAATTTTTCTAAACTGTCAAAGCAAAATTAGCCACTCAGAATAGAATATCTGTTTTTACAATAAGCTCTTGTCCAATATTCTCAAATAACAAACCAGAGCTTTTATAAAAATCTCAACAGTCAAGAACACATCCAGTACTTCAAGAAAGTAGTACAAATTCAAGAATTTATATTGCAAGTTCGGCAACAGCAAGCATAGCTTATTAGAAGAGGAGGTGGAGGAAACTATTTTAGCTGTCGCAGTTTTTAGAGGCACCATATAAAAAAACAACACTTCCAGCAACTTTGAACTATCAAGAAGCCGACAATGCAGATCATAAAGTATCAAAAACATCTGCTTACCTTCTATTTCCTGTATAATTCAAAGACTTGGGAACGTGCCCACAAGTCATTTAGTCATTTCCATGCCAGAAAATAGGTGGAGACATGAATTATGTCCTGCCTAAGATCTTGATATTTGGAGTTACAGTTAAATCATTATAAGCCACAAGTCCATCCAAAGGCAAGGATTTCCAGGGCTCAAGGGGAAAAAAACATGCTTTGCTATGCTGAAGATTTTAAATGTAAGTCTTGCCATTGCCAATCAAAAGAGGTTTTATAAGGAAATATCTCCAGGTAAAACCCCATAATAGGTTATAGTAAAACCAGTGGAGCAATTAAATATAAGGAAGGTCACATGCTCAAGTATCCAAAACAATTTTGTTTCTTCAGGTCTTCCACAGATCTAACACTTATTAGCAAAGCATCATTAGCCTTATGCAATAATATGAAAAGTGAAATGCCCATAGAAAACAGCTCCAGCCATGCAAACCATTTATTCTTAGAATTTATCCCTGATCCTGTACAGATTCCTAACTATAAATGACTGGTCACAAGTATCAGGGTTTAAGCATGAGACAAGGCTGTTTTTCTTTAAATATATTATTGGCAGACAGCAAGACTATGTTTTTGTAAAATCTCAGAGACTTTTTAATTGGTCTCGAAACATATTCAGAAGAAAGCATTACTTAGCTGTCATTAGCCCAGCTGGGATTTTGTGAAGTGTTGTGCTGTCAAGGCAAAGTGTGCAACATAGGCATGATAATATAAGTGTCTCATTAGATTTTAGCAATTCATAAAAAGGGGATAGACTATATACCGTCAAATCTTCATTTTTAAGAGGTGGTTCCTCAGATGCAACATCTATAAGATCTGTTTAAAGAAATACAGTTTCTCATTAGTTCCCTGTTGCCAACAGTGAGAAGTAATTCTTTTTATTTCCCCTTCCCAGACACCCACTGAAAGAGGAAAACAGAAGGATATACAAAGACCAAACAATGTTTCTTTACTATATTCACCACTTCCAAATCTCATGACTATAGCTGAAATGCTAGGCGGCTGTACAATAACTTCTTGTGTTATTTTAATGGGTTAATTTCAACAAGATTTCCTCCTTAAAGGGGTATGCTGTACAGTGCAAATTTAATCTCAAATTATCCTTATTTATTAATACTTCTTGAGCAGCAAAGTCATTTATAGTGAGCCTGAGATTTTGACTTTGTAAACAAGAGTAGCAATTTCATGTATTTTTTTTAACTGCCCTTCCTTTTCTTTTGACTACAGGAAACAACTGCATTTGTGTTATGATTTTATTTCCTGGCTCTTTTTCAAAAGTCTGGAATAAGGACTTGATGCATCAAAATCATTTTTAATTTATTTTCCCCTGATCATAAACAGTGCCAATATTATGCAAGAGAAGCATGAATATTCTGTGCCTGAGCACATTTTGCAGAACTCCAAGTTTTTCTACAACCTACATGGTTAAACTAAAATAATATTTTTGCCAAAAAAGAAATGAATAGTCTGTGAGCATTGTTTTTCCATTTACAGTAGTTCTATTTCATTAGCCGATTTTTATATCAAGTTTCTATCACTGGATGCAGATCTGTTTTTTGAGTTTACACTGCAAAGTTGGGTTTCAAATATTACATAAAAGCAGGGAGGAAGGAGGAAGCATAAATGAATCATGCATTCTTTTGCAAATCACAGACCCCACCTGAAGGGGAAAGTTTCTCCTTTACAAATTACACTGAAAGCAAATCCACCTTTCACACAAAGATCTTGCACAAAGATTTACAAAACATTACAGAATCTACAATCTATAACTTGAATTTATTAAAAAAGCAAATTAAAAATTTGGTGGCTGGATCAAGGACTATATGTGTTTTTTAAATCTTTCTTGAAAAACAATGTATACAATGTAAAAGCCATCAAAATATTGCCTACATAATAATGTCATTCTGTGTGCAGTAATTCTCTAGCCTGTTTAATTTACAGCAAATTAAACATTTACAATTTGTTTTATTTCTACATTAAGTTCTTCCCAGGAGGAAAGTATCACTGCTGTTAACCAGTCAGTAGCCATTTCTGAAATCGATGTCAAAGACTAAATATTTATTTATTAAAAACTCAAACATAAAAACAGCAGAATTCTGTTGTAAAGAGATTTATATCTGATTGTAATTCTCTATAACCTAGAAATATCATGATGGCACAACATGAATACAGTCCTAAATATTCAGAACTAACAGCAAGGAATGATCCTTCTATGAGACTGAAGGAAGCATCTGCTTCAAGGAGATGATTTGGAAGTCACAAAACAGTAGAAATTTTTTATTTGTTCTTTGTGTACTTTCACTGCCATAGAGAGATTCTGTCTGATTTTATCCCTAAAGGTGTCAAAACAATTACAGATATCCTTCTATCGGTACTCTATTGTGATCTTCCTCAGACAACAATTTAGGCTACCATGATTTTGGGAGGGAACATCCATAATTTTCCTACCTGTTTAAACATTTTTTTTTAAATTCCTGAATATTACACTTCCAGTAGGTGCTTCAAGCTAAGGTGATGACTCACACAAGAGCAACAAAATGTTTCTAAGCATTACTACTTCCTTTTATGCCTTTGATAGGTTCAAATTCCCTTCCCTGCTTGTTTGATCATTCCTTTGAACAAAAGACATGGCCAGATATCTTTTGCCCTGACATGTCCAGATCAAAACATACTTGAAACAGTGCTCCATAAAAATGGCCCCATGCAGAAACACCAGGAAAAATGAAAATTCAATCCATGCTTCCCCAAACAATCTCTAATGAAATGGCACATCTAAAAGAAGCTAGACTGTGCCTTTATCATCCCACTATGGGTTTTAGGAAAATGAATTTTAGATATTAGATCATTTCTTAGTGGCCAGACCTGGGATTAAGCATTTTACTCGAATGGATAAAGCAAATCTCTTCAAAGGTGCTAACTTCCATATCCTCTGTATTCTATAAAACTAAGCAGTGCTGAGAAGAGAAGTAAGCAGCCATAAGAAAATTATTTGCCTGACAGCATCCCCAGTAGGTGAAGTAATAATTTATTTCAACTATCCTCTCTGCAATGTATTTTGAACATGTTCTGAAATTGACTTCTTTAGATAAGCAAGTAACAAGTAAATACTTTAACTAGGCTGGCTACATTGATTTTATTTGGACAGGTGTACTTTTTATACCTCACAATTTTGGTTTATTGGTTTAATAAGGGTACATTAAAATCATATTTATTTGGGAACTGGTACAGTTACACAGATTTTCATTGCCTTTTCAGATTTGACACAAGCATATTTCCCTAGTTCTGTATTTCAGGGCTCTGGGCAGGTAAATCCAAAGTTGTTCTTTTTTTTTAAAAGCTGGGCTGAAGGGAAAAGTTCTTAGTAGAATTAAAACAGAGCAACATCAGGCAGAACATTGAGCCTGACTACTGACAGCCTATCATAATTAATAGAGAACTCTTTGGGGGAAAAAAATCTGCTCATGATATTGTAAATTAATCCCTTCTTAGTTTGTAAAATTCAGATTTATGTTAAACAAGCATTACATGAATCAGCTGATCAAGCTATCTAAAGCACGGATTTTTCCTCCTTTGAAGAAGCTATTCCCATCCCCTAGGAAAATCCTCTTCCCATTGAGTGAATTAATCTTACTCCCCCCCCCCCCCCCCCCAGTCTGGTAGAGAGTAAAAGTCACATCTGTTGTAGAGTCCTAAAGAAGAACTGAAGACAAACTCTGTTAGTAAGTTTTGGTTAAGTCGAATAAATAAATTAGTAAAGCTAATGTTCTGATTTAAACTGCAACAGATAATGTTTGCCGAAGGTCTTCCTATACACTGCAGACCCTCATGGTCCCTTTCAACTCCCCATTCTATGACTCTAGATCAGGGGTCCTCAAACTTGGCAGCTTTAAGACTTTGTGGACTTCAATGTTATGCAGGCTGAGGAATTCTGGGCATGGAAGTCCACAAGTCTTAAAGTTGCCAAGTTTGGAGACCTGTGCCCTAAGTGCTAAAGTACTTCATGTACACATTCACTTAGTTCTTAAAGAAAAAGGTTTAGAGGATGAGCCCACCCTTCTCTAGCAGTTCATTTTTGAAAGCCTAGATACTGAGTTTAGTAATTGTCAAACATCACATGAGCCTTTCTACGCTGGAAATATGTAAGAATGTAAGTCTGACAGGCAGTCCCACATCACAGATTAAGAGGAAGAGATGTGCCTCTTGGTTGTTACAATGCCATATTGATCAAGACAGATTTTTTAAAGTATGATAAAAGACAGACAAACAATGCAGTGATTTATAAATATTGTAAGTAGCTAATAAAATTATATAGATACATATAAAGAATAATTGTGAACACAATGAAAATTTTAAATCAATGTCCAGAAAATAGTTTCAAGTGTCCTCTTCTAGTTTTTTTCAGATACATTGAACTTCAACATTATAATTTCCAGACAAATTAGCTCTTGGCAAAATGGCCTAATCTCTTCTCTGAAATGTCTTTCCAAATTTTAAATTCTGAAATGAGATCATTATTGACTAAGGACTTGTTGAAAATTTTCTCTCTTAAAATGCTCACTTAACAAACAAGACACTTACTTAACTTCAAAGTTAACTAATGAACATTAAATTAAAAGAGATTTACAGATATGTCACCATAACTAATATAGCTGATGTAATACATGCAAATCATAAAACAAAGCATTATGTTTTACAGTTCCATAAAATAAACCTTAAAGCTCACTTAGAATATCAATACTAGATCAATAGTTTAAATTATTTTTCTTATGAGAACATTTCATATTATGTATACAGAGAGCCCAGTGAGATTTACTTCTAAGTCAACATGAGTTGTGAAACACAACTGTTTCATGATCAAATATTTCAGATTACATTTCTGTGCCTTGTTTGTTTTATAATTTCCATCTGATGCTCTAGAAGAAATATGCAAACTTTTATTTTCTGTAATCAAAAGCCAGATTTAACAGCCTTTGAGGAGTGATGTCATTTATTGGGGAAGGATTTTTTTGGGGGGCGGGGTTGGACTTTTGCTTTGTATTTGCTTTTTAATTTAAATCCAGCCCTCTGAAGCTTCTCTGAGTGCTTACACTTTCCAATCTGGAAAAAGCCAAACTGGAAGAATTCTTCTAGATTTAACTGAAGTGTGGGCATCAGGGAAACTAAATCACTGGATAGAGAATTGTGCAATGAAAGCCTTCTCATACAACAATCTAGCAACTTTGTAAATCAAGTAAGTACGAGACACCACATTTTATTTATGAAAAATTCAACAAAATCCTCTTCTTTAATAAGACCATTTTGAAAGCAAATTCTGTCAGCAAGCTGAAATAAGAAGTGGTGGAAGAAATGGAAGATAATTTTTCTGCAAGCACTACTGTGAGCGCTGAATTATTGAGAGAGGAAGGGGACATGGCAATGGGATAATCTGTCCAACATTCACAAGCATCAATGTTCATCACTGGCTCATGTCCACCATATTGAGAAAACATCCATTTTTGCCCTTGTAGGGAACAGAGAGCTCAACTGATACCTGCAATATGCCCCATTAAATCTATAATCAGACATCTTTTCAACACTGCTACTGAAGCTAAAGCCATTGCTACTTTTTTCTCAGTTAGACTACAGCCTCTAAAATTCTTCCAAAGGTATGATTTTTAATTAAATACTTTGGAATTATATTTATTATTGCTGTATTTAAAATAGATTATAATATTTAGCTTCTCTTTGTTTTGTCTCATAATTCTGCAGATATTGATTAAAAAGAAACTGTGCCTTGGCATACAAAAGAAAGATGAAAGCCTTTTGACGTATTTTACACATACAATATAATGGGTTGTAAATAATTTCATACAATAGAGAATGAAAATACCTTCTTTAGATGTTATAGAGTTGCAAGGCATCTGCATTCCTCCCAATGTTTCAGCTTGCTTTGGAGTAAGATTCTTTAAAAAAATAATAATAATAAATTAGTTTAATTAGTATGTTCATTGTGTTATTGTTATTTTATATTTTTCATATAGGATGCACAACACAAATTCACAGAGTAATGTATCCACAGAGTACTCTAATGTAATGCAATATACTTGTCAGATTTCCAAGTGATGAAATCCATTTGAAAAGAAAAGAACAAAGTCCATCTTCCAAGACAAATTCTTCTATTTAGGAAAGCATCAAATTGGCAAAGTCCAGGGTAATTCCGGATCTGACACAACCCGGAATTACCCCATAATATTAAAAGTTAGAAACACCCCCCAAAAAAAATCACATTCTCAAATAGAAGTAATTCAACATTGCTTGATGCCATAAATCTCCACCTCAAGGCCCCCAAGCATAGACAGCTCGTTTCCCATGGGAAGGAGAATCACCTAGCCAAAACAATTCTCTTTATCTCTACTTTATCCTCTTTATCCTACCCTCTTAGTAATGTGGCAAGACTGAAACCCTTCCCCCCATGACTGCCACAGACAAAGTAAGAAAAAGAATATATACTAAGCCTAACTAAAATAGCTACACATATGTCAATTTCAGGCTTGATAATACTTAGATTTCAGCAAGGCATTCAACAAAGTAGACCACAACCTACTTTTTCGTAAGCTAGAAAAAAGTGGGATTTATAGCACCAACACCAGATGGATTCGCAACTGGCTGATAAACCATACTCAACGATAGTCCTTAATGAGTCTAAGTCTAAATGGAGGGAAGTAAGCAGTAGGGTGTCACAAGGTTCCACCTTAGGCCCAGGACTCTTCAATATCTTCATTAATGACATAGATGAGGGAATAGAAGGGGAACTTACCAAATTTGCAGATGATACTAAACTAGTAGGAATAGCTAACACCCAAGAAGATAGGCTCAAGATCCAGATGGATCTTGACAGACTAGAACACTGGGCTGTATCTAACAAAATGAAATTCAATGTGGAGAAAAGTAAAGTCCTACACTTAGGCAAGAAAAACCAAAAGTACGCATATAGACTGGATGAAATCAGGCTTAATAGCAGTAACTATGAGAGGGATCTTGGAGTCTTTGTGGACAACTGGCTAAATATGAAGCAGCAGTGTGCAGCAGCAGCCAAAAAAGCTAATGCAATCCTAAATTGCATTAACAGAGGGATACAATCAAGATCCAGTGAGGTACTAACACCACTCTATAAAGCTTTTGTCAGACCATACCTAGAGTACTTCATCCTGTAAAAAGATGTTGAGACTCTAGAAAAAGTACAGAGAAGAGCAACCAGGATGATTAGGGAACTGGAGATTAAAACATATGAAGAATGGTAACAGGAACAGGACATGGCTAGTCTAGTGAAGAGGAGGACCTTGAGACACATGATAGCAGCCTTCCAATATTTGAGGGGCTGCCACAGAGAGGAAGGGGTCAAGCTATTTGCTAAAGTACCCAAAGGCCAGACAAGAAATAATGGATGGAAACTGAACAAGGAGAGATTCAACCTAGAAATAAATGAGAAATTTTCTGACAGTGAGAAAAATAAACCAATGGAACAGTTTGTCCTCGGAAGTTGTGGGAGCGCCATCACTTGAGACTTTCAAGAAGAGTTTGGGCTCCCTGTCAGAAATGGTGTAGGGTCTCCTGCTTGGGCAGGGGTTGGACTAGATGGCCTACAAGGTCCCTTCCAACTCTGATTATCTGTTTAATCTGTAACCTGCCCGAATTTGTTACTGACCAGATGTCCTCAGCCTGCAGCAGTCAGCACAGCCAGCAAAGCAAATCACTAGCAACAGAGTGTTAGGAATTGATGTCCAAATACATTTGGGATATATCTGGAAGGAATACTATTCCAACATGCTACATATGTTAGATCATAGCTTGAAGCTAAGTAAACCTAAGTTAAGCCAGTGCCTATATTCAATTATTGACCTGAAAAAGAAAAAGAGTTTACTATTGTTATTTATTTATTAATCAAATTTGTATAGCCACACATCTCACCAAAGGTGACTGGACAATGGACAACAAATGAGAAAACCATATATAAAAATACTATTTATAAAAAAACATAAAAAATCATATTAATAACATTATAAAAGCAGATACAAATCCTAGGTGAAGAGGGAAAATAAATAGGCAGCTCAGAAATGGAGCCACCTAAGCATTGTCTCCAGTTCCCTTGGAGCCCCAGGCCTGATAAGACAACCAGGTATTGAGGACCTTCCTCAGGATGTCCCCTATCCAGATATGGATAGGTATAGCAAAGGACAAAATGAGTTGATGATTCGTGGCCTTATCACCTCATAGTTAGATTTCTGCAATCAATTCTATTTGAAGTAGAAGTGAAGATCATTTACAGACTATAGTTGGTCAACCTATCTTGTGGACCTTGTACGGGTCACCAATAAAGTGGTAGTTTTGATATATAAACGTATACAAGATTGGCAAAAGTTTCAGGACTCCCTAATTAGACTCAACTCATCTGAAAAGATCCTCCCAAGAGAAACTGCTCAAGTGAGAGTGATGAAGCCAGAAAACTATCAAACACTCTGGAACAGCTTCCTTCCAAAAGCTAGGTTGACATCCTCAGTGAAGGCCTTCCAGAGATTGTGAAGACTAAAACTGTTCAAATTTGGTATGCATTCTGTGTATTGGTTATATCTGTTATATTGGTTATCATATTGGTATTGTGAATTATGGCGATTTTGTTTTATTGGACATTGTACTTACTGAGGTTTACACAGTTGATGATTTGACAGCATAGCAAGTTTGATTAATAAATAAAAATAAAGCTTCAAGTTCACTATTGTAGAGGAATGACACTGTCAAATAAGAAAGGAATCAACACTTGCACTAACAATAAATGGTGTCAATGTAGATTATTTCTAGGGAACAAAAGGCTGAGATAGGGACTCAGCCTGAACTGATATTCTGTAGCTTGCTCTCAACCAAGAAGATCCAACAGGTAAAAGAAGCAGGTGCTGAGGATTAGCAATTTGGGTCAGCCCTCTTCTCAGGCTCCAAGTTGTTTTGGCTGCTGGTGTGAATCTTGCTGATAGGAGGGTGACAATGGGCTGGTTCTTCTGGCATCATGGAAAGCCCCTGGTCATATAAGATTCTCCTTACTAAGCCAACATCAGCACCAGAAACTAGTTTATGCCAGTATGAAGAAAAGCTGCAGAGCAAGTTCTTCCCACATAATTATGAGTTTCTTGGATTAAACCAGCAGCAAAGAATTAATTCAGGTTCTCTGCAATGTCCTCAGCTTCCCTACTGGCACAACTATAGCTTCCTTCTCTGTACAGCTCTACTGCCTCCCTAGCCGATTTCCTGCATCTGAAGTATTTAAAGCTTTTAATTGTTATTCTTGATCTTAAGATTTTAGCAATACAATCCTCAGATTTATTTCTGGCCTCCCTCATTGTCTATACTTCTAAAAATTCCTTCACTCACTCATGGGCATGTTCTTGGGTCTGTTAGTACTTTTCTGATAAGTAGTACAGTAGACATTTTGGCTGGACTTTCATTATTGTGCTTGTCATATTCTGCTGGTAAATTCTAGGTTTATTCATAATAGAAGCATGCTCGTCTGCAATCTGGTAGTGAATGAGGAGGTGGACCTGGCAGGTTTTACTGTGACCCAATTAAGCAAAACAGTGATATTGCTGACTTTGTCCATTTCTCAGCCCTTCAAGATAGGCCAGGTTAGGAAATGAAGGAAAGATTTTAGAAATGCTACTTTAGGTAGCATATATCTAAATATAGGTATATGCTATATAATATATATAAGGTATAACAAACTTTTGAAAGCCTGTTAGTTTTCCTCTAATCCCTCATATACCAAACAGAATCAAGATGAAATTATTTTGATTTTTTTCTCCTGTTTTCTTCTTTCCCAGGACTGAGTTATTGTTTATTTTCTCTTAATGGTTCTTGTTTTCCTTCATCAAGGTAATCACCATGCTTCTCTTCACTGGTTGGATTTCATCTCCCCAAACTCAAGGACAGGCAGTGATCTTACTGCTCCTTTCATCCTGTGGATTCCAAGCATTCTGCTATGACCCCTGCCATTTGTGAGCTAGGCACATGACTATTATGGAATTACACGGAATCCATATCTTGGCTATTATATGGGATTGCAGGGATGCAACAACAAAAGTTGGGATGCCAGCAACAGCCTACTTCAGGAAGGAGATGATGTGAACAAGTCTTAAGAAAGCTATGCTGCACATTTTTCTTTAAAAAGGCCCTCTCTGGATCCAGCAGTGTACTGTCCAACTTTTATGATGGGGATTCAGCTGCAGAGAATTCTAGAGGAAGTATGTTATCTGACACTTTTCAGTCAGGTTGCTACCTTCAAATTCAGGGTGTATATGAATTATACCTCTTTGTTAAAAGTAGAACATCATTTATTCAGTCTATGAGAATTACTAGAAATCAAGTATTTCTAAAAGAGATTGTTCCTGGATGCCTTGCTGATTTCACTCTCCATTTCAAGGCAAAATCTTCAACTTCTTTTTATAATTTATATTAGTCTTATTCAGTGCCTTTCTCATATATAGCAGCATTGTCCCGAATAACATTATATCCTATATAAGCAATTTGTGTTCAAAGTTTATTACATTTCTGTAATTCTTATTCTTAAGTGATGATTCATCTTGAATTTTCAAGCATATATTACCTTTCCCCCAAGAACAATTTAATTTTCAGCAGGTTACATTAATCTTTTGCAGCTATATAAGGTTTGTTTATAATCTGTCTTCCAAATTCTGTTCAACCTCTGTACTATTTGTCTGCCCAGGACATCCTGTTTATTCTATGGACTATGCACTCCTTCAGACATTTCCTTCTAATTTTGTACTGCAAAGGCCTTATTGCTGAATCATACATAAAATAGCTTATTTCTTTCTTCAAATGTACATAACTTAAGTGATTGTTATCTATAAGTGACAAGGGTTGCTTTTCTTGAACATATATACAACTTATATGTATGTACAAAGTACAATACATGCAGCAATTAATTAGAATGTGGTTTTTCACAATTTCCACATCACTTTTCATAAAAGTTTAATAAAAACTAGCTTCATAAAAATCATTTGAATTTTTATGCATGTTTCTTAATATAGCATTTTTGTAATCATGCACTTTTGCAAATGGCTGCTTCTAATACGATGCATTTTTGCACATTATTTTCAACATTTTTCTATACATTATTGAGCATGTTATTTCACTGTTCAAGCTTAACAATCATATTGTAACTTTTAAAATATAAAAATATCAAGGGGTAATTACATTTCCATCAGATTCTGTTTTGGAAATTACAATTTAGCATCTTTGAATTTAAATGTGAAATGTTACAGTTCTTGGTTTAGTAACCGAAGTGATTTCCCTGATTTCACTATATTTTCTAGACATTTCAGGATAATTAAATTTAGATACCAGACTTCACATACACTTTTGACTAGACTACACTGTTTAAATTAAACCATGTAAATTCTAGATCACAATCCTGATTTTACAATAAAATTATTTGTATTTAAGGCATCATAGTATTCTTTTTTCCCATCCTTTTTCCTATTAGCAAGACCAGTTGACAATTTAAAAATGATCAATGACTCTATTCAAATGTGAACAGCATTTTTCTTAAACTGAAAACAAAATAATGTTTCATTATATTACATTTGGCACTTACCTTTTGTATAAAAGTTCTATCCCAGAAGTATTTCCTAAAGAGCTGTACATCAGATTCTAACGAATGGTCTGTTGTGTGATTAAATGTCAGCAACAAAGTCCCTGATGAATAAGCAAATTGAAGGACAGCATTTTCATCAAGTTCCACTTTAGAAATCTCAAAAGGATGGATGATCTGCCTTCTGAAACAACACATTCATGAGATTAGAGTAAAAGTGTCAGGACAAGTGAAACATGGAACATAAACCTATACAAAGTCCCTCTCTCACTGCATTCCATAATTTCAGACTCCAATCTGACTAATTCCAAAGATTTCATGGAAAAAATATTATGGAATGCTCAGGCTAAACAAAGTTTTTTTCTGAAGAACTTTGCCCATGAATCAACAATTCCAACTTGGAAGAATTCTGATGAAAAAAAGAAGTACAGCTGATATTTTTTTCGATGACTTTTTAAAAAAATGCAGACTATTTAATCACAAATTAGATTCAATAGACAAACCAGCAGCATACCAGCTCATAAGCATACCACAATATAAAATAGTCTCTAGAGAGTGCTGTATTGTTTGAATGTTCCAAAAAAGTGAGACATTCATAGTAAGGGTGATAACAAAGAATGCATAAATTCATACAAACTAAAGCTAAAAACAAAGCTAAAAACAAAACAGCAGTGTAAATTTGAAGAAGGGGGGAGTAACGGGGTTTTTTTTCTTGCTCATTTTCTCTCTCTGTCCTATTTAATACTATCATGACTGGATAATGAGAATGGGTGCATTTGGACAAGACAACTGTCAGAATCCTGGCTCCGAACTACCCTCTTTGTTCATTTTAAGATTCTCTTACCCATATGTGGTACAGTGGCCTTGTGCACAACAAACCAAAACCCCAATAAATATCCCAAAAAGGGCTATTTCCCTTTATAAATCACAAATCTCCTTGCTTACTTGTTTCAGTTTGCATAGAACATTCATGGCAACTTTAAAATACAGTTCAGACAACTTGGCTGTTGCTAAGTCAATTGTAGGGAGGATCTCCAGGGCAGGTCTGTGGTACAATAGATGGTGCCAGCCAAGTTGTCTAATCAGCAACAACATATTGCTTCAGAACTTCAGCAGGAAATGAACTCCTGAACAGCTTAAAATCTGTTCTATTTCACTGCAGCTTTGTGAGTGGGGTGCTTGATTGTATGTGCATGGCAGACAGAAATCTATATGTAGTTGAAAAGCAAGTCAGGTAAGGAGAAGGAAAAATAATGGTAATAACTAAGTTGTTGAGGAACACAAATGACAGAATACTGCTGTTTTGCTGTAAGAGTGTATTCTAACCTCTTATAAACTAGCACCTTTTGAGAAGCTAAATTAAAAAAAGGGCAAAAGATACAACTACCAAATCCAGTGAATACATGTCTACATTAGAGAGAGAGAAATTCTGGATATTTCCTAAATACTTTGGATATTCCCTAAGAACATATAAACAGATGCCGTTTTTGGTTGCCCACCCTTCTAATAAGTTTTTAGATGCAGCTGGATTTTTCTTCTACTGTATTCTATTTACTCATTATTTACAGAATTATTATCTACCCATAAATCTTAAGAATAAGCACATAAAACTTTAAGTAAACCAAATATGAGATTATAATCTTTAACAAGACATAAACTAGTAAATTATATTGTATTCCCATTAAGCAGTATTTTCTAGTCTTGACAATTTTCAGATAGATTTCAACTCCCAGAATTCTAAGCAATGGACTTGCTTGCTGGGAAATTTTGGGTACTAAAGGCCAAGCAGCAACTGCAAAGGTTGAAAAACCCTATTTGCATTTAAACATCTGCAATAGAATATTCACTGAATTTAAGAGAGGTACAAACAAAAGTAGTCATTGAATTTCTTTCTTCCCATTTTTTCATATCAAGCCATACTACTTACTTGGAAAACATTTCCACAAGACTGAAATGTCCATTCTGTAAGGCCAAGTCCAATGGTGTCAATCCTTCTTCGTTAAGTAAAGTGACTGCAACTGTTCCACCTGGTTGGAATAACAGGAACTGCGAAAGTTGAACCAGACCCAATCTCATTGCAAGATGGAGAAGTGTTTCTTTGCATTTAGATTCTAAAATAAAAACATATACAGGTTTTGCGTTAAAAATCAGCAATCCTATTCTTCTGGACTATAAGCATCTTTTAATATAACAATGCAACTTGATTATCAACACAGATTAGTAAAAAGAAAGGTTATATCAATAGAATCCCTATAGCAATCCCTGCTACATATTTTAATTATGTATCATTAGTTATAACTGTTTTTAATTTATTTTTGTTTGTCACACAGTCACTTATTGAAAGAAGGAAGGAAGGAAGGAAGGAAGGAAGGAAGGAAGGAAGGAAGGAAGGAAGGAAGGAAGGAAGGAAGGAAGG